TGCTTAACCTCCAAGACTCCAGTTCAGACTTCTTGTAGGATAATTCATCCTTTTACAAGTATGACAATGTTTGCAGTGTTTTATTTTAAGATTATACAGCCTTTCTAGGTTTCCTATACCCAGACGATTTTGCTTGTGTGAATCAGATTTCTTTTACATTAAATTATGGTTATTTTATCATTCATCAAAGTTTTGATATACAAATAGCATCTCTTTTCATCTTTATTTTAATTCTATTTAATTAATTAATGTAAATATTTATTTATATACAGTAACATGTGTTGGTGGCATGTGATATCAAACACTTCAGAAAATTAATAAAAGGAAGACAACCAGATCATGTATCAGTTACAGGCTCTACGAAACGCGTTCGTTTTGCTAATAACGTGCGATGGAATACTCCTTTCAGGTTTACCATTTGTTTCGTTACTGGAAAAAATGTTCAGTTTTCAATGCTATTAAGTTCAGTTACTTACCAACTGTACTATATACACAATCAATCATTATATCCTTTACATTTATGTAATGACATTCTGAGGCGAGAGGTCTTGTTGAAGCTTGTGTAGTGTACGAGAGTCTTTATATATTTAGTGAATGTATGATGCTAATGAAAACAATACATCACACACAAACATACTGTTATTTACATTTCTACAAGATTTATATAAAGATATCAAAGGACATCAATTATTATTAAACTATGTACACTGAGTTTATGTAACGTGGTTACTGAAACATACTGAGGGGTGCGCGTACAGCGTTCTTTAGTTTTCAAAGGTTATATAACAGTGAATTAATTTTACTTTATATTTAGTCACAAATACATATAGTATATTTCAACGGGTTATCATTTCTGCTCGAAATATGGTTATACCCGTCGTTGCCCAGAGAAGATCCTCCTGAAGCCTTTGAAGTGTAGGAAAGTATCATTTATATATGTGTGGTCACTGATTCATACTATATAATAAAAATACAAAAGTAAACAACCAGATTTTCACATATTTACGGTACTCATTTGATATAAACGAACGTCATCGATATACTAGTTTATTAATTTATCTACATAGAGGTTGCGAAATCCCTACATTTAACCATACTGTGGGGCGGGTGTATAGGGGCGTGGTGTGGAGGGGTACTGCGCCTCACCCTCGTAGGTAACCTCGGCCAAATAGCCTGAATCACCGTTCACAGTGTAGGTGACTCTCTGGAGACGACCGTCGGGAAGGAGGACATAGTAGGAACCCTGAGTATTAGGACCATCTCGGGCCTCCTGATGGCCAAAGTCGTTGCCAGATGGGGGATCGTTGACGGCGTAGTTGAAGTCGTACTTGGCAGGTGCTGAAGAGGGCGTTGGAACGCCATAGCCGTTCTGAGGGCGGGCAAGGGCAACGGCCAAAAGAGCGGCGAGTGCAGCTACCTGTAATATCGGGAATGTTGTAACAGAAGGTGCATTAACGGAATTTAGAAAAGTAAAAGATGAAATTATTTGTGATTATTATATAGGATTAAACTAAATCTATTCCTCTTGTATTTCACCTTAAATGCCATGGTGTGTGATGGCTGAATATCTGGTGCAGTGGGAATGTTTATTGTGTAAGCAAGTAAAGATCTAACTAATTATGAGCATGAAGAGTGTTGTGGGCAGAACTGTGCATTACCAGTCACCTTGATATGTGTAAGAAATGTTACTGCTTCATAATTTGGATCCTCATTCTGTGAAGAAACCTTATTTCTAGACCCACACACATATATACATGTACATGTAATACACACATTCCTTATTATATATATGTTTGCGATATATTAATATATATGGATATATTCATGCGCAAATAGACATATATGCATATACATATGTGTGTAAACATATGCAATGTATATGTATATGTATATATATGTATGTATGTATGTATATATATATATATATGTAATGAATATCGCTGGTGTGCTGCGACGCACATTTCGTACAGGGTGGAGTTAGTGTATTTTTTTTATTATCCTTTAAATCCTTCGTAGTATTTGTAGGCGTATGCAGGAAACATATCGGTGGCCGATCGCGGAGATCAAATCAAATTCTACAAATCATGTCTATCAAATTCCAGTTCTATAATATTCCCTCTTCTACAGAATTATCGTTTCGGGCTCTGACACAAGATGCAAGAAATATGATAGTCTGTGAATATGATATAGGACTAAACCATAAGCAAAAGACCCATTCTTGACAAGCGAATCTCTCCTCTTGCATCTTACCTTAAATTCCATGATGTGTGGTGATAGAATATCTGATGCAGAGAGAATGTTTCTCTCTGTTTATATAGTGTAAGCAAGTAAAGCTCCTCCCTAATGATGAGCATGAAGCTTATTGTGGGCGGAGGGGTGTATTACCGGTTACCTTGATATCTGTAAGCACTGTTGCTTTCATAATGTAGACCCACATTCCAAGAAGTTAGCTTAATTTCATTAGACGCACACGTACGTACACACACGTGTGTATATATACATACATACATATATGAATGCAATATATATATAGAAATATATATAAACACATATCTATTTGAAGACTACTAATATGCTGTAATGTACATGAATCTTCATGAAGTAACTTATGCTGACACGTGGTAAACTTTAGGATTAATGTACATATGCGTTTTTATCTTGTATTCCTTTTCGTGGTATTTATAGGCAGAACATAGCATATCCATCTACTGGTAAATTTATAAACATAAGAAACCACTATAATCCTACCTTTGCTGCTTAGGCAGCAGATAATTTTAAATAATCAATCAGTCAGTTCAATTCTGTAATATATTTCCTTATACAAATTACTGAATTATTGTCTAGGACCCGGAGACAAGTTGCGGTAAGCATAGTGACTTCCGGTTGCTACTCTCGATCATTCAGAAAGTCATGATCATTACTTTGCTTTCAACCTCATTTGCTTAACCTCTAAGACTTCAGTTACAGCATCAAACTTCTGGAAAGGAGTTGAGACTTCTTGTAAGACTAATGTGTTTTTTACAAATACGACACAGTACTAATAGGCTTACAAGTTTATTTCTAGAAGCCGCGCACCCCTTCCTATACCCAGACGAATATGTGTGAATCACAGATTTCTTGTACCTTGAATTGTGGGTGTTTTATCATTTAGAGGAAGGTTTCAATATATTAATAGTACGTTTTTCTTCATTTTTAAATACATTTAATTACCTAATTAGTTAATATACAGTAACATGTGTTGATGGCACATAAAATCAGACATTTAAAAAAATTAATAAAAGGAAGGCAATCAGATCATGTCTCAGTGACAGGCTCTACAAAACGCGTTCGAGTTGCTAATAACGTGCGATGGAATACCCCTTTCCGGTTTACCATTTAATTCGTTACTGGAAACAATGCTTAGTTTTCAAAGCTATTAATTTCAGTTACCTTTTCAAATTTAAAAATGTTACACTGTGTTTCAACTGTGGCATGTACATAATCCATCATCATATGCCTTTACCTTTATGCATTAACATTCTGAAGCGAGAGGTCTTGCTGAAGCTTATTTATATATTTAGTGAGTGTTGGTAGGAAAAAAAAAACAAAAAAAAAACAAAAAAAAAACCAATGTAAAAACTAGATTTATTGAAAATGAGACAACAGTTTCGGAATCCACTTGGATTCCATCCTCAGACCTGTGGGTGGAATCCAGGTGGATTCCGAAACTGTTGTCTCATTTTCCGTAAATCTAGTTTTTACATTGTGGGTTTTTCTACCATAATATCAACACGGTAGTGTTTTCGCCATTCTTAGTGAATGTTGATTTTAGAGCTCGGTGTTTGATGCTAATGCAAACTATATCACACAAAGATACTGATATTCATATTTCTACGTCATTTATATAGAAATATATATAAACACATATCTATTTGAAGACTACTAATATGCTGTAATGTACATGAATCTTCATGAAGTAACTTATGCTGACACGTGGTAAACTTTAGGATTAATGTACATATGCGTTTTTATCTTGTATCCTTTTCGTGGTATTTATAGGCAGAACATAGCATATCCATCTACTGGTAAATTTATAAACATAAGAAACCACTATAATCCTACCTTTGCTGCTTAGGCAGCAGATAATTTTAAGTAATCAATCAGTCAGTTCAATTCTGTAATATATTTCCTTATACAAATTACTGAATTATTGTCTTGGACCCGGAGACAAGTTGCGGTAAGTATAGTGACTTCCGGTTGCTACTCTCGATCATTCAGAAAGTCATGATCATTACTTTGCTTTCAACCTCATTTGCTTAACCTCTAAGACTTCAGTTACAGCATCAAACTTCTGGAAAGGAGTTGAGACTTCTTGTAAGACTAATGTGTTTTTTACAAATACGACACAGTACTAATAGGCTTACAAGTTTATTTCTAGAAGCCGCGCACCCCTTCCTATACCCAGACGAATATGTGTGAATCACAGATTTCTTGTACCTTGAATTGTGGGTGTTTTATCATTTAGAGGAAGGTTTCAATATATTAATAGTACGTTTTTCTTCATTTTTAATTACATTTAATTACCTAATTAGTTAATATACAGTAACATGTGTTGATGGCACATGAAATCAGACATTTCAAAAAATTAATAAAAGGAAGGCAATCAGATCATGTCTCAGTGACAGGCTCTACAAAACGCGTTCGAGTTGCTAATAACGTGCGATGGAATACCCCTTTCCGGTTTACCATTTAATTCGTTACTGGAAACAATGCTTAGTTTTCAAAGCTATTAATTTCAGTTACCTTTTCAAATTTAAAAATGTTACACTGTGTTTCAACTGTGGCATGTACATAATCCATCATCATATGCCTTTACCTTTATGCATTAACATTCTGAAGCGAGAGGTCTTGCTGAAGCTTATTTATATATTTAGTGAATGTTGGTAGGAAAAAAAAAAAAAAAAAAAGCAACCTACCAGATTTTCAAATTTATTAATATTGATATAAACGAACGTCATCGATATACTAGTTTATTAATTTATCTACACAGAGGTTACGAAATCCCTACATTTAACCATACTGTGGGGCGGGTGTATAGGGGCGTGGTGTGGAGGGGTACTGCGCCTCACCCTCGTAGGTAACCTCGGCCAAATAGCCTGAATCACCGTTCACAGTGTAGGTGACTCTCTGGAGACGACCGTCGGGAAGGAGGACATAGTAGGAACCCTGAGTATTAGGACCATCTCGGGCCTCCTGATGGCCAAAGTCGTTGCCAGATGGGGGATCGTTGACGGCGTAGTTGAAGTCGTACTTGGCAGGTGCTGAAGAGGGCGTTGGAACGCCATAGCCGTTCTGAGGGCGGGCAAGGGCAACGGCCAAAAGAGCGGCGAGTGCAGCTACCTGTAATATCGGGAATGTTGTAACGGAAGGTGTATTAACGGAATTTAAAAAAGTAAAAGATGAAATTATTTGTGATTATTATATAGGACTAAACTAAATCTATTCCTCTTGTATTTCACCTTAAATGCCATGGTGTGTGATGGCTGAATATCTGGTGCAGTGGGAATGTTTATTGTGTAAGCAAGTAAAGATCTAACTAATTATGAGCATGAAGAGTGTTGTGGGCAGAACTGTGCATTACCAGTCACCTTGATATGTGTAAGCAATGTTACTGCTTCATAATTTGGATCCTCATTCTGTGAAGAAACCTTATTTCTAGACCCACACACATATATACATGTACATGTAATACACACATTCCTTATTATATATATGTTTGCGATATATTAATATATATGGATATATTCATGCGCAAATAGACATATATGCATATACATATGTGTGTAAACATATGCAATGTATATGTATATATATGTATGTATGTATGTATGTATATATATATATGTAATGAATATGGTGTGCTGCGACGCACATTTCGTACAGGGTGGAGTTAGTGTATTTTTTTTATTATCCTTTAAATCCTTCGTAGTATTTGTAGGCGTATACAGGAAACATATCGGTGGCACGATCGCGGAGATCAAATCAAATTCTACAAATCATGTCTATCAAATTCCAGTTCTATAATATTCCCTCTTCTACAGAATTATCGTTTCGGACTCTGACACAAGATGCAAGAAATATGATAGTCTGTGAATATGATATAGGACTAAACCATAAGCAAAAGACCCATTCTTGACAAGCGAATCTCTCCTCTTCCATCTTACCTTAAATTCCATGATGTGTGATGATAGAATATCTGATGCAGAGAGAATGTTTCTCTCTGTTTATATAGTGTAAGCAAGTAAAGCTCCTCCCTAATGATGAGCATGAAGCTTATTGTGGGCGGAGGGGTGTATTACCGGTTACCTTGATATCTGTAAGCACTGTTGCTTTCATAATGTAGACCCACATTCCAAGAAGTTAGCTTAATTTCATTAGACGCACACGTACGTACACACACGTGTGTATATATACATACATACATATATGAATGCAATATATATATAGAAATATATATAAACACATATCTATTTGAAGACTACTAATATGCTGTAATGTACATGAATCTTCATGAAGTAACTTATGCTGACACGTGGTAAACTTTAGGATTAATGTACATATGCGTTTTTATCTTGTATTCTTTTCGTGGTATTTATAGGCAGAACATAGCATATCCATCTACTGGTAAATTTATAAACATAAGAAACCACTTTAATCCCACCTTTGCTGCTTAGGCAGCAGATAATTTTAAGTAATCAATCAGTCAGTTCAATTCTGTAATATATTTCCTTATACAAATTACTGAATTATTGTCTTGGACCCGGAGACAAGTTGCGGTAAGTATAGTGACTTCCGGTTGCTACTCTCGATCATTCAGAAAGTCATGATCATTACTTTGCTTTCAACCTCATTTGCTTAACCTCTAAGACTTCAGTTACAGCATCAAACTTCTGGAAAGGAGTTGAGACTTCTTGTAAGACTACTGTGTTTTTTACAAATACGACACAGTACTAATAGGCTTACAAGTTTATTTCTAGAAGCCGCGCACCCCTTCCTATACCCAGACGAATATGTGTGAATCACAGATTTCTTGTACCTTGAATTGTGGGTGTTTTATCATTTAGAGGAAGGTTTCAATATATTAATAGTACGTTTTTCTTCATTTTTAATTACATTTAATTACCTAATTAGTTAATATACAGTAACATGTGTTGATGGCACATGAAATCAGACATTTCAAAAAATTAATAAAAGGAAGGCAATCAGATCATGTCTCAGTGACAGGCTCTACAAAACGCGTTCGAGTTGCTAATAACGTGCGATGGAATACCCCTTTCCGGTTTACCATTTAATTCGTTACTGGAAACAATGCTTAGTTTTCAAAGCTATTAATTTCAGTTACCTTTTCAAATTTAAAAATGTTACACTGTGTTTCAACTGTGGCATGTACATAATCCATCATCATATGCCTTTACCTTTATGCATTAACATTCTGAAGCGAGAGGTCTTGCTGAAGCTTATTTATATATTTAGTGAATGTTGGTAGGAAAAAAAAACAAAAACAAAAACAAAAAAAAAAACAATGTAAAAACTAGATTTATTGAAAATGAGACAACAGTTTCGGAATCCACTTGGATTCCATCCTCAGACCTGTGGGTGGAATCCAGGTGGATTCCGAAACTTGTCTCATTTTCCATAAATCTAGTTTTTACATTGTGGGTTTTTCTACCATAATATCAACACGGTAGTGTTTTCGCCATTCTTAGTGAATGTTGATTTTAGAGCTCGGTGTTTGATGCTAATGCAAACTATATCACACAAAGATACTGATATTCATATTTCTACGTCATTTATATAGAAATATCAAATATCCTCATTAATGTGCTATTCATTAAAATATATAGAGTTTATGTAATGTAGTTACTGTAACACATTGAAGGGCGGATTTATGGGGGCGTGGTGTGGAGTGGTACATAACTGTTTAGTTTTCAAAGGCTATATGTCAGTGAAAATTTTACTAAAGATTTAGTGTATTTCAATGGGGGTATCTTTATATTTGTACTCGAAATATGGTTATACCCATCTTTCCCCTGAGAAGAAAGATCCTGCTGAAGCCTTTGAAGCGTAGGAAAGAATCATTTATATATGCAATGTATGATGATTTAAAAAGTCGCTGCTTCATCCTAAAAAAAAAAAAAAAAAAAAAAAAAAGCAACCTACCAGATTTTCAAATTTATTAATATGATATTAAAGAACGTCATCGATATACAAATTTATTGATCTATCAATACAAAGGTTACTAAAACATTACATTTAACCATATTGAGGGGCAGGTGTATAGGGGCGTGGTGTGGAGGCCTCGCCCTCGTAGGTGACCTCGGCCAAATAGCCTGAATCTCCGTTCACAGTGTAGGTGACTCTCTGAAGACGACCGTCGGGAAGGAGGACATAGTAGGAACCCTGAGTATTAGGGCCATCTCGGGCCTCCTGATGGCCGAAGTCGTTGCCAGATGGTGGGTCGTTGACGGCGTAGTTGAAGTCGTACTTGGCAGGTGCTGAAGAGGGCGTTGGAACGCCATAGCCGTTCTGAGGACGGGCAAGAGCAACGGCCAAAAGAGTGGCGAGTGCAATTACCTGTAATATCGGGAATGTTATACAATGCATACTATCGTAATTTAGAAAAAAAAGTCTGATAGACTAGACCGTAAGCAAAAAACCCTTTTTTGACAACCGAATCTGTCCTCTTGTACTTTACCTTATATACCATGATGTGTGATTTTAGAATATCTGATGCAGAGAGAATGTTGCTCTCTGTTTATATAGTGTAAAGAAGTAAAGCTCCTCCCTAATGGTGAGCATGAAGGATGTGGGCGGAGCAGTTTATTACCGGTCACCTTGTTATTTGTAAGCACTGTTGCTGCTTCATAATGTAGACCCCTATTTCAAGAAGAAATTTCATTTTCACACATGTATATGTACGAACGGAATATATATAGATGTATTTATACATATATGAATATATCTGCATACACATGTATATCTATACACAGATGCACAGAGAAAGAAATTAATATATCAGAAGAGTGCCAATATGCTGTAATGCAAGCGAATCTTCATGACTTAACCTTTGTCAACACTTCACACTGTGAGATTAATGTGTTTATACTTTTTTATCCTTTAATTCTTCGTAGCATTTGTAGTTACATAGAAAGCATACCGATGGCCGATTGCGAAAAAAACGAGTCTAATGCACTGTGTTCCAATGCATTGTAATACATTCCCTCTTCTTCCACAAACCACTGATTTACTGTCTTAGACCCTGACACTAGTTGCGAAAAATATGTAGTCATTCTCCCGGTTGCTGTTCTCGCTCACTCAGGAAACCATTATCATTACTTTGCTTTCAAACATTTTTTACCCTCCAAGAAAGACCATCAAAAATCTTGAAAGGTCTTCCGACTTCGAAGACTATTAAACCTTTTACAAAGTTCAGACTTCTTGTAAGACTATACATCTTTTTACAAGTACGGCACAGTAACTTTCTTAACACACCCTTTCCTATACCTAGATGATGTTGCTTGTGTGAATCACAGATTTACTATATATTCAATTAAGGCTGTCAATATAAGTTCTACATTTTGTCTTATGTCATCCAATCAAGATTTAACAAAAGTTTCAATATATATATATTTTTTTGCCAAACAATAACGTTTCGATGGCATGTGATATCAAATACTTCATAAACTAAGTTATAGAAAGGAAATCAGATCATATATAAACGAGTTTTCCAATGGAAAAGCCCTTTAGTGTTTAACACTATAGGGGTTGAAAATGTTACCCTGTATTTCGAATATATTATACACCTCATCTCATTACATTCATTATATTTTAAACGTGCTGTGCCTTTACATTTACGGCATGGCAGTCTGAATCGAGAGGTCTTGTTGAAGTCTGTGAAATGTTGTTATATAGTTAGCGAGTGTTTAATACTAATTTAGAAGACGCATAAAAATATTTATATTCAGATTTCTACGTCATTAGTGTAACGATATCAAAGATCACAAGTTTGCGAAACAGAGGTTATGTAGTGTAGTTACTAAAGCAATCAGTATCTTAGCATATTAAGGGGCGGATGTTTACCAAGATAATAAAATTCATGTTGAACACGGATTTATTATTTATTAATTTATGGCTTAGTAAAAAGGTTCAGATACTGTAGGTTATATTTATCATGTAGTATTTCTTTACCAATGAATGTCTTGCCAAACAAAATTAATGAAGTTAATGTGTTCTGCTAAAACTCTCTTAGTTGTCATTTTATGCATTATATATCAACTTGTTTACAATGTTTACATCATATCGGTATATGATGCCCATCGTCCCCCAAAGGAAGGCCCTGTTGAAGCCTGTGAACTATAGGAAAGTCACGTTTACATTATTAAGTGAGTTTAGTTTTAATGGGTGCTGTTTTTAGAGCTCGCTCCTTGATACAAAAAAAAGGGTAGTTACATATTTACGTAAGTCGTCGATATACACGTTTATTAAAATATATGTATAGCGGTTTTTACAATACTACTATTAACCATACTGAGGGGCGGGTGTATAGGGGTGTGGTGTTGAAGGGTACTGGGCCTCTCCCTCGTAGGTGACCTCGGCCAAGTAACCAGAATCACCATTCACAGTGTAGGTAACTCTCTGAAGACGACCGTCGGGAAGGAGGACATAGTAGGAACCCTGAGTATTAGGGCCATCTCGGGCCTCCTGATGGCCGAAGTCGTTGCCAGACGGTGGGTCGTTGACGGCGTAGTTGAAGTCGTACTTGGCAGGTACTGACGAGGGCGGTGGGACGCCATAGCCGTTCTGAGGGCGGGCAAGGGCAACGGCCAAAAAAGCGGCGAGTGCAATTGCCTGTAATATTAGGAATGTTGTCACAGAAAGTATACTATAAGAATTTAGAAAAAAAATGAATATGATATACTAAACCCTAAGCAAAAGAAGCATTTTTGACAAGCGAACTTGTCCTCTTGTATTTCACCTTAAATGCCATGGTGTGTGATAGATCTGATGCAGAGAGAATGTTTCTCTCGTTATATAGTGTAAGCAAGTTAAGCTCCTCCCTAAAGTTGAGCATGAAGGATGTGGGCGGAACTGTGTATTATCGGTCACCTTGATATTTGTAAGCACTGTTGCTGCTCTAAAATGTAGATCCCCATCCCACGAAGAAATTGTATTTCTTCTCACACGTATATCTATGAATATAACATACATACATGTATTATACTTAAATATAAATATACTTGCATATATGTATATCTATATACATACATGCACACGGAAAGAATAAAACACATGTTTTTGAAGAGCGCCAATATGCTGTATATGTAAATGAATCTTCATGATTTAACTTTTGTTGACACTTCGTACGCTGTCGGATTAATGTATATATGCCTTTTTATCCTTTAATTCTTCGTTGCATTTGTAGGTACACAGAAAGGATATCAAAGGCCGATCGCTGAAAACAAAACGGGTCGAATGCCCTGTGTTCCATTTTTGTAATACATTCCCTCAAATACAAGCCACTGATTTACTGTCTTGGACCCTGACACTAGTTGCGAGAAATATGATTGTCATTCTCCCGGTTATTCTTCTCGCTCATTCAGTAAGCCATTATTATTACTTTTCTTTTTATTTATTTATTTATTATTTTTTTATTCTCCAAGAAAGACTTCAGTTAAACCGTCAGACATCTGAAAACGACTATCGACTTCTTCGAAAACAATTCAGCTCTTTACAAAGTTCAGATTTTTTGTAAGACTAAACTTCTTTTTACAGGCTTACAAGTTTATTTTAGAACTATACAACTTTATAGACGCTGAATACCTATCCCTATACCTAGACGATGTTGCTTGAGTGAATCACGGATTTCTTGTATATTAAAATTATGGCTGTCAAGAGTTCTACATTTTCCCTTCTATCATACAATCAAGTTTCAATATTCATTTTTTTTTGTCAAACAGTATCATGTCAATGGCATCTGATATCAAATACTTCACAAACTAAATTATAGAAAGGGAATCAGATCACGTATCTCAATCTTGAAAAGGTTACGCTGTATTTCGAATGTACTATACACCGGATCTCATCTTATTCACTATATGTTAAACGCCATAACAGTCTGAGGCGAGAGGTCTTATTGAAATCTCGAAATGTTATTGTTACATTACGATTCTCCTTTATATAGTTAGTGAGTGTTTTTTTTTTTAGAATGGAATACTAGTTTATTTGACTAGTTTATTTATGTTTACCAAGATGTTCATGTTGTCCACGGATTTATTATGTAGTAAATTATGACTAAGTAAAAAAGTTCAGATACTGTAATTTATATTTATCATAAGTTAAAGTTAGAACAAACCCCAATATATTTCTTTACCAATGAATGTCTTGCCAAACAAAGTTAATCAAGTTAATGTGTTTTGGTGATATGTACCATTTCATGCATTGTATACCAACGGATGTAGTTTAACATTTACACTATTTCAGTATATGATTATGCCCATTGCCCCCCCCCCCCAAGAAGGTCAAGTTGAAACCGGTAAACTTGAGTAACGTTTATATACTTAATGAGTTTAGTTTTACTGAGTGCTGTTTTTAGAGCTCACTTGTTAATACTGCACGGATTTTTATTTGTTTTGTTTTCTTTTATAGATCTAAGTTATTCATACAAAGATATTAAAATAAGTAATCGAGGTACAACTTTATTAAAATACATGTACATAATTAGCCTACATTATTCATAGTTATATTAAAGAACGTCATCGATATACTTTATATGTAGAAGTTATTACACTACATTTAACCATATTGTGGGGCGGGTGTATAGGGGCGTGGTGTGGAGGCCTCGCCCTCGTAGGTGACCTCGGCCAAATAGCCTGAATCTCCGTTCACAGTGTAGGTGACTCTCTGAAGACGACCGTCGGGAAGGAGGACATAGTAGGAACCCTGAGTATTAGGGCCATCTCGGGCTTCCTGATGGCCGAAGTCGTTACCTGATGGTGGGTCGTTGACGGCGTAGTTGAAGTCGTACTTGGCAGGTGCTGAGGAGGGCGTTGGAACGCCATAGCCGTTCTGAGGGTGGGCAAGGGCGACGGCCAAAAGAGCGGCGAGTGCAACTACCTGTAATATCGAGTGTTGTAACAGAAGGCACACTAACAGTGATTAAAAAAAGAAAAAGATGAAAAAGATTATGATTATGACTGAATTTGTCCTCTTGTATTTCACCTTAAATACCATGGTGTGTGATGATTGAATATCTGATGCAGTGGGAATGTTTCTGTTCACTATGTGTAATCAAGTAAAGCAATAATTATGAACATGAAGTGTTACGGATGCAGCTGTGCATTATCGTGTATTTATAATTTAGATCCACATTCCGTGGATCTAAATGTATGTATATGTGTGGGTCTTATGAAATAAGATTTCACAAGACACACACATATACATACATAGGCATACACACACATATGTACATATAATAAACACACACATTCCTTTGTATATATGTATGCAATATATTCATATATACATGTATATATTCATACCCAAATTGACATATACATACATAGGCATACACACACATATGTACATATAATAAACACACACATTCCTTTGTATATATGTATGCAATATATTCATATATACATGTATATATTCATACCCAAATTGACATATACATACATAGGCATACACACACATATGTACATATAATAAACACACACATTCCTTTGTATATATGTATGCAATATATTCATATATACATGTATATATTCATACCCAAATTGACATATACATACATAGGCATACACACACATATGTACATATAATAAACACACACATTCCTTTGTATATATGTATGCAATATATTCATATATACATGTATATATTCATACCCAAATTGACATATACATACATAGGCATACACACACATATGTACATATAATAAACACACACATTCCTTTGTATATATGTATGCAATATATTCATATATACATGTATATATTCATACCCAAATTGACATATACATACATAGGCATACACACACATATGTACATATAATAAACACACACATTCCTTTGTATATATGTATGCAATATATTCATATATACATGTATATATTCATACCCAAATTGACATATACATACATAGGCATACACACACATATGTACATATAATAAACACACACATTCCTTTGTATATATGTATGCAATATATTCATATATACATGTATATATTCATACCCAAATTGACATATACATACATAGGCATACACACACATATGTACATATAATAAACACACACATTCCTTTGTATATATGTATGCAATATATTCATATATACATGTATATATTCATACCCAAATTGACATATACATACATAGGCATACACACACATATGTACATATAATAAACACACACATTCCTTTGTATATATGTATGCAATATATTCATATATACATGTAAGTTATTCATACAAAGATATTAAAATAAGTAATCGAGGTACAACTTTATTAAAATACATGTACATAATTAGCCTACATTATTCATAGTTATATTAAAGAACGTCATCGATATACTTTATATGTAGAAGTTATTACACTACATTTAACCATATTGTGGGGCGGGTGTATAGGGGCGTGGTGTGGAGGCCTCGCCCTCGTAGGTGACCTCGGCCAAATAGCCTGAATCTCCGTTCACAGTGTAGGTGACTCTCTGAAGACGACCGTCGGGAAGGAGGACATAGTAGGAACCCTGAGTATTAGGGCCATCTCGGGCTTCCTGATGGCCGAAGTCGTTACCTGATGGTGGGTCGTTGACGGCGTAGTTGAAGTCGTACTTGGCAGGTGCTGAGGAGGGCGTTGGAACGCCATAGCCGTTCTGAGGGTGGGCAAGGGCGACGGCCAAAAGAGCGGCGAGTGCAACTACCTGTAATATCGAGTGTTGTAACAGAAGGCACACTAACATGATTAAAAAAAGAAAAAGATGAAAAAGATTATGATTATGACTGAATTTGTCCTCTTGTATTTCACCTTAAATACCATGGTGTGTGATGATTGAATATCTGATGCAGTGGGAATGTTTCTGTTCATATGTGTAATCAAGTAAAGCAATAATTATGAACATGAAGTGTTACGGATGCAGCTGTGCATTATCGTGTATTTATAATTTAGATCCACATTCCGTGGATCTAAATGTATGTATATGTGTGGGTCTTATGAAATAAGATTTCACAAGACACACACATATACATACATAGGCATACACACACATATGTACATATAATAAACACACACATTCCTTTGTATATATGTATGCAATATATTCATATATACATGTATATATTCATACCCAAATTGACATATACATACATATATATCTATATGTACAAATATATATATATATATATATATATATATATATATGAATGAGGCCGATGTCCTGCAATGCACTTACATCTTCATGTTCTAACTTTGGTTAACTCTTCGTACACTGTGGGGTTAGTCTTTAAAATCCTCCGTAGTATTTGTAGGCGTTACACGGGAAGCATATCGATGGCCGATCGCGGTGATCAAATCAAATTCTAGCCCAGTTCTATATATTCCCTCCTCTACAGAATTATCGTTTTGGACTCTGACACAACTTGAAGGAAATATAATAGTTTGTGAATACGATATAGGACTAAACCATAAACAAAACACCCATTCGTGACAAGCGAATCTCTCCTCTTGCATCTCACCTTAAAATCCATGGTGTTTGATAGAATATCTGATGCAAAGAGAAGGTTTCTCTCTGTTTATATAGTGTAAGCAAGTAAAGCTCCTCCCTAATGATGAGCATGAAGCTTATTGTGGGCGGAGGGGTGTATTACTGGTCTCCTTGATATTTGTAAGCACTGTTGCTTTCATAATGTAGACCCACATTCCAAGAAATCTTAATTTCATTAGACGTACACGTACGTACACACACACGTATATATATTTATAAACATATATATATATGAATGCAATGTATATATAGAAAGATATGGATATATACACACATATATCTATTTAAAGAGTACTATTACGCTGTAATGGACATGAATCTTCATGGACTAACTTATGCTGATACGTGGTGAACTGTAGGATTAATGTACATATCGTTTTTATCTTTTAATTTTTCGTGGTATTTGTAGGCGGAAAATTGCATATCCATCTATTGATAAATTTATAAAACATAAAAAACTCTTTAATCTCACCCTTGCCGCTGACGCAGCAGATAATTTTAAATAATTAAACAGTCAGCTCAATTCTGTAATATCTTTCCTTCTGCAAACTACTGAAACGTTGTCTTGGACCCGGACACAAGTTGCGGTAAGTATAGTGACTTCCGGTTGCTGCTTCCGCTCATTCAGAAAGTCATGATCATTACTTTGCCTTCAAACTCATTTGCTTAACCTCCAAGACAGTTACAGCATCAAACTTCTGGAAAGGAGTTGAGACTTCTTGTAAGACTATTGTGTTTTTTTTTTACAAGTACGACACAGTACTTACAGGCTTACAAGTTTATTTCTAGAAGCCGCGCACCCCTTCCTATACCCAGACGAATGTTTGTGTGAATCAAAGATTTCTTATACTTTGAAATTATGGGAGTTTTATCATTTAGACGAAGGTTTCAATATATGAATAGTACGTTTTTCTTCATTGTTAATTGCATTCAATTACCTAATTAGTTAATAAACAGTAACATGTATCGATGGCACGTGGTATCAAACATTTAAAAAAATTAATTAAAGGAAGGCAATCAGATCATGTCTCAGTCACAGGCTCTACAAAACGCGTTCGAGTGGCTAATAACTCGGTTGGAATACACCTTTACGGTTTATCATTTCGTTATTGGAAACAATACTTAGTTTTCAAAGCTATTAAGTTCAGTTACCTTTTCAGATTTAAAAATGGTACACTGTGTTTCAACCATGCCATATATATAATCCATCATCATATGCCTTTACATTTATGTATTAACATTCTGAAGCGAGAGGTCTTGCTGAAGCTTATGAAGTCTTTTTATAATTCGGTGGTTGATACTAATGCTAACTACATCACACAAGGATACTGATATTTATATTTCCACGTCATTTATATAGAAATATGAAATATCATAATTAATGTGCTATTTATTAATATGTATACACAGAGTTTATGCAATGTAGTTACTGTAACACACTGAAGGGCGGATGTGTGGGGGGCGTGGTGTGGAGAGGTACGCGCCCGGGCTATGAGGGGAGCCCGGCCTGTGTCGACTAATGTCGACTCGCTAACAGTGTGTCAGCTGGTGCTGACTCGGCTTAGTCCTTACCCGCCGTGGTGTCCAGCCACAGCAATAACCTCCAGGCGACAATTGCAACTTCTCGCGCATGGGCGGGGCGCGAACCGCCGACTCCTCGGATGAGAGGCCGACACGTTACCACTAGCCCGGAGGCTGTACTCCAAATATGTCGAAATATGGTTATACCCATCTTTCCACAGAGAAGGAAGATCCTGCTGAAGCCTTTGAAGCGTAGGAAAGAATCATTTATATACGTAACGAGTGATGCTTTTAAAGGTCGCTGCTTCATACTAAATTTCAAAACATAAAAGCAACCAACCAGATTTTCAAATTTATGTTATTCATATCATATTAAAGAACATCATCGATATACAAATTTATTGATCTATCAATACAGAGGTTACTTAAACACTATATTTAACCATACTGAGGGGCAGGTGTATAGGGGCGTGGTGTGGAGGCCTCGCCCTCGTAGGTGACCTCGGCCAAATAGCCTGAATCTCCGTTCACAGTGTAGGTGACTCTCTGAAGACGACCGTCGGGAAGGAGGACATAGTAGGAACCCTGAGTATTAGGGCCATCTCGGGCCTCCTGATGGCCGAAGTCGTTGCCAGATGGTGGGTCGTTGACGGCGTAGTTGAAGTCGTACTTGGCAGGTGCTGAAGAGGGCGTTGGAACGCCATAGCCGTTCTGAGGGCGGGCAAGAGCAATGGCCAAAAGAGCGGCGAGTGCAATTACCTGTAGTATCGGGAATGTTATATAAAAGCATACTTTCGTAATTTAGGAAAAAAAAAGTTAATATGATAGACTAGACCGTAAGCAAAAGACCCTTTTTTGACAACCGAATCGGTCCTCTTGTATTTTACCTTATATGCCATGATGTGTGATTATAGAATATCTGATGCAGAGAGAATGTTTCTCTCTGTTTATATAGTGTAAAGAAGTAAAGCTCCTCCCTAATGATGAGCATGAAGGATGTGGGCGGAGCAGTTTATTACCGATCACCTTGTTATTTGTAAGCACTGTTGCTGCTTCATAATGTAAACCCCTATTCCAAGAAGAAATTTTATTTTCACACATGTATATGTATGAATTTATATAGATGTATTTATACATAAATGGATATATGGATATATCTGCATATACATGTATATCTATACACATAGATATACGCGTAAAGAATAAAACATAAATATAAGTGCCAATATGCTGTAATATAAGCGAATCTTCATGACATAATCTTTGTCGATACTTCACACTGTGAGATTAATGTGTTTATACGTTTTTATCCTTTAATTCTTCGTAGCATTTGTAGGTACATAGAAAGCATACCGATGGTCGGTCGCGAAAAATAAAACGAGTCTAATGCTCTGTGTTCCAATGCATTGTTGTAATACATTCCCTCTTCTTCCACAAACCACTGATTTACTGTCTTAGACCCTGGCACTAGTTGCGAAAAATATGTAGTCATTCTCCCGGTTGCTGTTCTCGCTCATTCAGAAAACCATTAATACTTTGCTTTCAAACAGTTTTACCCTCCAAGAAAGACCATCAAACATCTTGAAAAGTCTTCCGACTTCGAAGAGTATAAACTTTTTACAAAGTTCAAACTTCTTGTAAGACTATACATCTTTTTACAAGTACAGCACAGTACTTACAGGCTCACATATTTATTTTAGGACTATACAACATTTTCTTACTCTGCACACCCATTCCTATACCTAGATGATGTTGCTTGTGTGAATCACAGATTTACTATATATTCAATTAAGGCTGTCAATAAAAGTTCTACATTTTGTCTAATATCATCCAATCAAGATTTAACAAAAGTTTCAATATATATTTTTTTGCCAAACAATAACGTGTCGATGGCATGTGATATCAAATACTTCATAAACTAAATTATAGAAAGGAAATCAGATCACATATAAACGAGTTTTCCGCTGGTAATGTGCAATGGAAAAGCCCTTTAGTGTTTAACACTATAGGGGTTGAAAGGGTTACCCTGTATTTCGGATATATACACCTCATCTCATTACATTCACTATATTTTAAACGTGTCGTGCCTTTACATTTACGGCATGGCAGTCTGAGTCGAGAGGTCTTGTTGAAGTCTGTGAAATGTTGTTATATAGTTAGCGAGTGTTTAATACTAATTTAGAAGACGCATAAAAATATTTATATTCAGATTTCTACGTCACTAGTGTAACGATATCAAAGATCACAAATTTGCGAAACAGAGGTTATGTAGTGTAGTTACTAAAGCAATCAGTATCTTAGCATACTAAGGGGCGGATGTTTACCAAGATAATGAAATTCATGTTGAACACGGATTCATTATTTATTAATTTATGGCTCAGTAAAAAGGTTCAGATACTGTAGGTTATATTTATCATATAGTATTTCTTTACCAATGAATGTCTTGCCAAACAAAATTAATGAAGTTAATGCGTTCTGCTAAAACTCTCTTAGTTGTCATTTTATGCATTATATATCAACTTGTTTACAATGTTTACATCATATCGGTATATGATGCTCATCGTCCCCCGAAGGAAGGAAGGCCCTGTTGAAGCCTGTGAACTATAGGAAAGTCACGTTTACATTATTTAGTGAGTTTAGTTTTAACGGGTGCTGTTTTTAGAACTCGCTCCTTGATACAAAAAAAGGGTAGTTACATATTTACGTAAGTCGTCGATATACACGTTTATTAAAATATATGTATAGCGGTTTTTACAACACTACTAGTAACCATACTGAGGGGCGGGTGTATAGGGGCGTGGTGTTGAGGGGTACTGGGCCTCTCCCTCGTAGGTGACCTCGGCCAAGTAACCAGAATCACCATTCACAGTGTAGGTAACTCTCTGAAGACGACCGTCGGGAAGGAGGACATAGTAGGAACCCTGAGTATTAGGGCCATCTCGGGCCTCCTGATGGCCGAAGTCGTTGCCAGACGGTGGGTCGTTGACGGCGTAGTTGAAGTCGTACTTGGCAGGTACTGACGAGGGCGGTGGGACGCCATAGCCGTTCTGAGGGCGGGCGAGGGCAACGGCCAAAAAAGCGGCGAGTGCAATTGCCTGTAATATCAGGAATGTTGTCACAGAAAGTATACTATAAGAATTTAGAAAAAAGTGAATATGATATACTAAACCCTAAGCATTTTTGACAAGCGAACTTGTCCTCTTGTATTTCACCTTAAATGCCATGGTGTGTGATAGAAGATCTGATGCTGAGAGAATGTTTCTCTCGTTATATAGTGTAAGCAAGTTAAGCTCCTCCCTAAAGTTGAGCATGAAGGATGTGGGCGGAACTGTGTATTATCGGTCACCTTGATATTTGTAAGCACTGTTGCTGCTCTAAAATGTAGATCCCCATCCCACGAAGAAATTGTATTTCTTCTCACACGTATATCTATGAATGCAATATACATACATGTATTTATACTTAAATATAAATATACTTGCATATATGTATATCTATATATATACATGCACACGTAAAGAATAAAACACACATGTTTTTTGAAGAGCGCCAATATGCTGTATATGTAAATGAATCTTCATGATTTAACTTTTGTTGACATTTCGTACGCTGTCGGATTAATGTATATATGCCATTTTATCCTTTAATTCTTCGTAGCGTTTGTAGGTACACAGAAAGGATATCAAAGGGCGATCGCTGAAAACAAAACGGGTCGAATGCCCTGTGTTCCATTTTTGTAATACATTCCCTCAAATACAAGCCACTGATTTACTGTCTTGGACCCTGACACTAGTTGCGAGAAATATTCTTCTCGCTCATTCAGAAAGTCATTATCATTACTTTTCTTTTTATTTATTTATTTATTATTTTTTTACTCTCCAAGAAAGACTCCAGTTAAACCGTCAAACATCTGGAAACGACTTCCGACAAAATTCAGACTTTTTATAAGACTAAACATCTTTTTACAGATGTAAAAAGTTTATTTTAGAACTATACAACTTTATAGACGCTGAATACCTATTCCTATACCCAGACGATGTTGTTTGAGTGAATCACGGATTTCTTGTATATTAAAATTATGGCTGTCAAATGCAATCAAGTTTCAATATTCATTTTTTTTTGTCAAACAGTATCATGTCGATGGCATCTGATATCAAATACTTCACAAACTAAATTATAGAAAGGGAATCAGATCACGTATCTCAATCTTGAAAAGGTTACGCTGTATTTCGAATGTACTATACACCGGATCTCATCTTATTCACTGTATGTTAAACGCCATAACAGTCTGAGGCGAGAGGTCTTATTGAAATCTCGAAGTGTTGTTGTTACATTACTAGTCTCCTTTATATAGTTAGTGAGTGTTGTTTTAGAACTTGTTGTTCGATACTAATACAGAAGACGTCATGCATAAAATACTGATAATCGTATTTCTACGTCATTTGTGTAATGATATCAAAGAACATCAGTGAAGTACTAGTTTATTTGACTATATATAGAGGTTATGTAATGTAATTACTAAAGCAATCCATATATTAATATACTGAGGAACAGATGTTTACCGAGATGTTCATGTTGTCCACGGATTTATTATGTAGTAAATTATGACTTATTAAAAAGAGTTCAGATACTGTAGTTTATATTTTTCATAAATCAAACTTTAAACAAGCTCCAATATATTAATAAAGGAATTTCTTTGCCAATGAATGTCTTGCCAAATAAAGTATATCAAATTAATGTGTTTTTGGTGAAATATACCATTTCATGCATTATATATCTACGGGTGTACTTTAACATTTACACCATGTCGGTATCTGATTATGCCCATTGTCCCCCCAAAGAAGGTCCAGTTGAAACCGGTAAACCTAAGTAACGTTTATATATTTAGTGAATTTAGTTTTAATGAGTGCTGTTTTTAGAGCTCACGTCTTGATATTGCACGTTTTTTTGTGTGTGTTTGTGTTTTGTTTTACATATCTAAGTCATTCATACAAAGATATTAATATAAGTAATCGAGGTACAAGTTTATTAAAGTACATGTACATGTTTAGCCTACATTATTCATACATTTATATTAAAGAACGTCATCGATGTAATATATATGTAGAGGTTATTACAACACTATATTTAACCATATTGGGGGGCGGGTGTATAGGGGCGTGGTGTGGAGGCCTCGCCCTCGTAGGTGACCTCGGCCAAATAGCCTGAATCTCCGTTCACAGTGTAGGTGACTCTCTGAAGACGACCGTCGGGAAGGAGGACATAGTAGGAACCCTGAGTATTAGGGCCATCTCGGGCCTCCTGATGGCCGAAGTCGTTGCCAGATGGTGGGTCGTTGATGGCGTAGTTGAAGTCGTACTTGGCAGGTGCTGAAGAGGGCGTTGGAACGCCATAGCCGTTCTGAGGGCGGGCAAGGGCAACGGCCAAAAGAGCGGCTAGTGCAATTACCTGTAATATCGGGAGTGTTGTAACAGAAAGCACACTGACGTAATTTAGAAAAGAAAAAAAATGAAAATGAATATGATTATGATCAAATTTGTCCTCTTGTATTTGACCTTAAATACCGTGATGTGTGATGAGCGAATATCTGATGCAGTGGGAATGTTTCTGTCCATATGTTTAAGCAAGTAAAACAATAATTATGAGCATGAAGAGTGTTATGGGTGCAGCTATACTTTACTGTGTATTGTAAGCACTGTTATTGCTTCATAATTAAGAAATCTTACTTTATAAGCCCCACACACATGTACATACATAGGCACACACACACATATGTACATGTAATACACACACACACACACATTCCTTTGTATATATATGTATGCAATATATTCATATATACGTGTATATGTATATATTTATATCCAAATAGACATATAAATACACATATATCTATATGTATATACATATACTTATGAATAACGCCGATGTGCTGCTATGAACTTACATCTTCATGTTTTAGCATTGGTTAACTCTTCGTATACTGTGGGGTTAGTATATATATATACTATTTCAAATACTCTGTAGTATTTGTAGGCGTTACACGGAGAAGCATATCGATGGCTGATCACTGTGATCAGATCAAATTCTAGTCCAGTTCTATAATATATTCACTTCTCTACAGAATTATCGTTTAGGACTCTGACACAGGAAATATAATAGTTTATGAATCTGATATCGGATTAAACCAAACATCTATTCGTTACAAGCGAATCTCTCCTCTTGCATCTCACCTTAAGTGCCATGGTGTGTGATCAGAGAATATGTGATGCAGTGAGAATATTTTTCTCTGTTTATATAGTGTAAGCAAGTAAAGCTCCTCCCTAATGATGAGTATGAAGCACGTTGTGTTCGGAGGGGTGTATTAAGTCACCTTGATATTTGTAAGCACTGTTACTTTCATAATGTAGATCCACATTCCAAGAAGTTATCTTAATTTCATTAGACGCACACGCACGGACATACACACGTTTATATATATAAATAGATAGATATAGATATATATATACACCTATATATCTATACACACACATGCATGCAGAGAGATAGGGAAGTCCATCGTGAATAAAATGTAGAAATATATTTAAAGAGCACCAATATGTTGTAATGTTCATGAATCTTCATGAAGTAGCTTATGCTGACGATTCGTACACAGGTATTAATGTATAGTTTTTATCCTTCAATTTGTGTAGCAGTTATAGCGAAACATAGAAAGCATATCCATTTATTGACAGATTATAAACATAAAAAAAAAAAATCCCACCATAGCTGTTGACGCGGCAGATAATCTTAGATAATCCATCAATCAGTCATTCGGTATTCAGTAGTAATACAAACTACTGAATAATTGTCTTGGACCCGGACACAAGTTGCGAGAAATATAATCACTTCCGGTTGCTGCTTTCGCTCATGCAGATACTCATGATCATAATTCTGCCTTCAGCCTCATTTACTTAATCATCAAACTTCTGGAAATGAGTTCAGACTTCTTGTAAGATATGTACTTTCTACAAGTGCGACACAGTACTTAGAAGATTAGAGGTTCACAGGTTAACTTTAGGATTTATGCAACTTTTCTATAAGCCGCACATCTCTTCTTATGCCTAGACGATTTTTTTCTTTCTCTTTCGAATATGTCTGTTATATCATTTGATTGAAAAAAAAACAATACTTCATTTCTTCATTATTTTCAATCTAATTAACTTTTTCATTTATTTACTTATATACAGCAACATGTGTTGATGGCATGGGATATCAAATACTTCAAAAAGTTAATGAAAGGAAGGCAATAAGATCATTTATCAATGAGTATTCCAGCCACAGGCCTCTACGAAACGTGCTCGTTTTGCTAGTAACGTGCAATGGAATACCCCTTTGTTATTTACCATTCATTTTCTTATTGGAAACAATGTCTAGATTTCAACTAAGCATTATTTCCAATAAAAAAATAAATGGTAAACAGTAAAGGGGTATTCAACTTCCTTTCCAAACTTGAAGAGGATACTCTGTATTTCGAATGTACTATATACGTAATTTGTCATTAATTCACTTTATATGAACGTGTTGTGCCTTTACATTTATGTAATGACATTCTGAGGCGAGAGGTCTTGTTGAGGCCTGTGAAGTATACATTTATATACATATATATAGTAAATGTTTTTAGAACACGATATTCGATGTTAATGGAAAATATATCACACAAATATACTGATAGTCATATTTCTACGTCATTTATATAAATATATCAAAGAATGTGCTAGCTTGCTAAGCTAAGCTATATACACAATTTATGTAATGTGGTTACTAAAACATGTGGAGGGGCGGGTGTGTAGGTGTGTAGAAATGGAGGGTGAATTTTACTTTATATTCAGTCACAAATACATATAGTATATGTCAAAGGGAGTGCCTTTAAATTTATACTATGTCAAAATATGGTTATACCCATCTTCTCCCAGAGAACAAAGATCCTGTTGATGTGCAGGACAGTCTTACTTATGTATTTAGTGAGTGATGATTTTAAAGGTCACTGCTTTATACTAAACAACGACAACAAAAACAACCACATGCTCACATGTTTAGCCTGATATCAAAGAACGTCATCGAAGTACTAGTTTATTAATCTATCTATACAGAGGTTACTAAAACTGCATTTAAGCATACTGAGGGGCGGGTGTATAGGGACGTGGTGTGGAGGCCTCGCCCTCATAGGTGACATCGGCCAAGTAGCCTGAA